TTCTTTCTTTCTTTCTTTCTTTCTTTCTTTCTTTCTTTCTTTCTTTCCTTCCTTTCTTTCTTTCTTTTCAAATAAAGAAAAATTTCTTGGATCCTATTCAGGATATTCTTGGCCAAACTAAGAGCAGAAGGAGAATCACATACACAGGTAAGTAAACTCAGTAGGACCCTAATAGGTATGAAAGACATACTTATTTATACACACACACACTCAAACACACATCCACAGAAATATATTGACATATTCTGATATATACAATGTCCTTAAGATTAGGAATCAGATTTTCTTTTCTAAACAAAATCACTTAAAGTAAGAACGAGTTAGCAACAACTATATACTTATGATGTCTGTGGTCTGCATAGTAGGGGATATAGGCTATGTATAAGATGTATATCTGCCCTGAAGAGGCAAAGAAGTTGAAAAGATTCAAATAATACATATGAAAAATGCATTAGTACCATGTTGTAGGCACCATGAGTATAGGTTCTGATTTGTTCCTTCTACTCAAAACATAAGGTCAATTATAAAAAGAGAAAAAAAGAAAAAGTATTTAGAATAATTTGTATTCAAAAAAGAAATAGGCATGTCCACAGGCTAGAAATGCACCAGAAATGCAAAGTGGAAAGCAGGGACAAAGCCATGAGCCTGCTGGGCTCCAGTTCTAGACATAGGAATGATGGCCACAAGTACTATTTCTGGAGAATAAATACTCAAGAGTTCTCTAACCAGAGTCAGTGGCTTAGAAATGCTGAAGACAAGCTGAAAAAAATCCGAGGTCTCTGGCTTAAAGGCTGAAGAATACAGATATAATCTCTCAATCAGAAAATGAAGAAAGCATCTGCTGGTTGGATGCCTAACTCTATGATATCTACAACATAAATCTGGGACAGAAGTCCAGAAATGCTAGTTTAGGACCAATCTGGTCTAGAAGGCTGAGGATGTCAGGTAAAGACGAACATAAAAGGGCTAGATAAGAAAGGGTGAGCACAGAGAAGAGAAAGGCATTCATAGTGAGAAAACTACAGCAAAAGAAAGAAAATACCTCCTACTCATAATGGGTACACAAAACAAAAATTCCAAAACATATGAAGAACTCTGAGGCTGAGAAAGGCAGTACTCAACAATAGGATCATGAATTTGTTCCAGGTAAAATTAATTTTTAAAAACCATCAGACTGGGGCACCTGGGTGGCTCAGTCCATTAAGCGACCAACTCCTGTTTTCAGTTCAGATCATCAGGTCATGATCTCAGGGTCATGGGATTGTGCCCCAAGTCCTGGGCTCCACTCTCAATGCAAATCTGCTTGGGATTCTTTCCCTCTCCCTTTGCCCCTCACCCTGCATGCATGCACACACACACACACTCTCTCTCTCAAATAAACAAATAAATAAAATCTTTAAAAAAAAATCAGACAGGGGCACCTGGGTAGCTCAGTTGTTGGGCATCTGCCTTCGGCTCAGGTCATGATCTCAGGGTCCTGGGATCGAGCCCCGTGTTGGGCTCCCTGTTTGGCGGGAAGCCTGCTTCTCCCTCTCCCACTCCCCCTGCTTGTGTTCCCTCTCTCGCTGTCTCTCTCTCTGTGTCAAAATATAGATAAAATCTTTAAAAAAAAAATCAGACAAAAGTTGGTATGTTAATTATACTTTAAGAGATAAATGAAGAAGTAATATCCATTAAAGAGCAAGGATTTTAAAGATAAATAAGAAAAAAATGTATTTGAAAGAACCCTTTAGAAACCTTAAAGATGATAGAAAGAAAAATAGTCATTGAAATTAAAAAAAAAAAAGAACAAACCATTCAAATGCTAGCCTGGACATGGTTGAAGACAGAATTGATGTAGAAGATGCAGAATGCAGCCCAGAGACAAATCCAATATTGATTATCTATCTATCTATCAGCTATCATCTATTACCTATTCTGCTCTGAATGTTTGTGTGCTCCCCAGGTTCATATATTGATGAATTCTAACTCCCAAAAATGATGGTATTAGGAGGTGGGGCCTTTGGGAGACAATTAATTCATGATGCTGGGGCCCTCACGAATGTGATTATTACCTTATAAAAGAGACCCCACAGAGACCCCTAGCCCTTTCCACTCTGTAAGGATAGAGTGAGAAGACACCAGCTATGAACCAGGAAGAGGGCTCTCACCAGAAGGTGACCATGCTACCACCTTCATTTTAGACTTCTCAGCCTCCAGAACTGTAAGAAATACATTTATGCTATTTATAAACCACCCAGTCTCTTGTATTTTGTTAGAGCAGCCCAAATGGACTAAAACATAGACGTATCTATTTAGATATCTATTTACCTATCCGCCAACCTATTTATTTATGTCAAGAAGCAAAATTTTACTTATATCAATAAGAGAACCCAAAAGAAATGATAGAGAAGCCGTTGTTTAAGAGATAATAGATGAGAATTTTCCAGAATATAGGAGTTCTGAGGTTGAACTTATACCCCAAGTGGCAATAAAAAAAAAATAAAGAAATGAAATCACACTTAAACTTAATAATGTTCAAGAATAATGAGAAAATGTTAATAACTACCAGAGGGAAAATTACAGTGGAAGGTACTTAGAAAGTAAGGAAAGATGTCAGAAGAGCTTAGTCCTGATTTTTATAATAAATTTCAGAAATCTCTAATTATTATTTGTTTATTGGAATTAGTTTTTCATTTTCCCCTGAAGAATGTTCCTTTTAAACAGTAGAATTTATCAATAAAAATAAATCACATTAATGTTTAAAACTAGTTTGAAATAAACTATAAAAATAATTTAAAAGATATTAAATTATGAAAAAGTGATTAAAAAACAATGATATCTTTTGAAGAAATCAAGAAACAAAGAATATTTCTGAACATGTCTGTCTTAAATATTTAGTCAGAGGCTTAAAGAAATAAACCAGCGGTGCCTGGGTTGGCTCAGTCAGTTGAGTGTCCGACTCTTGATTTCAGCTCAGGTCATGATCTCAGAGTCCTGAGATCAAGCCCCACACTGGGCTCTGCACTTAGCAGGAAGTCTGCTTGAAGATTCCCTCTCACCCTCTTCCCTCTGCCCCTCCCCCCATTTGTGTCACACTCTCTCCTTCTCTCTCTCTAAAATAAATAAATAAACCTTAAGAATATATATACCAAATGCTGTGGGAAATACATCTGTTATATTGAGAATTGAGACAGAATAGAATCTAAGTAAATGGAAAAGATATTTGGCAAAACATACCTATTGAAAGTCAAAGGTTTTACAAAGAATTTCATAATATGTGAGAGAAAAAATGAAGCTAAACTAAGTTATGATAAAGTGAGAATCTAAACTCTATGGGATTTACAAAGAAAATACTAGATTTGAGAAGAGTATGTTACAGTTACTATAAGAAACAGAAGACTGGAGTGAGCATTATACTAGGTTGAGTGAACTAATAAATTATACAAACTCTCAGAAAGACATATATACAGATCTTGCTTAAAGGATAATAAATAGAAATTTTGAAAAAGTCTACTGTACAAATGTATGGTGATTAACATAACATAATAAAATAAAATTTAAAAAAAGTCTACTGTGCAGGTAAGACAATTTGATATTGCTTGTGAATTTAAGGATAAAAATAATTCTTAAAAATGATTGGATGGGGTGAATTTAACAATAGACAGCTGGCAGATCACTAGAGTGAGAAAATGAAAAATCAGAAAAG